CCATCTACCTTGGCATTTGCACTGGCTGACACTGTCTTCAGCACCCAGGACTTCCTCACCCTCTTCTATACCCTTCGCTCCTATGCCCGGGGCCTCCGGCTTGAGCTCACCACCTACCTCTTTGGCCAAGACCCCTGACCAGCCAGGCCTGAAGGAAGACCTGTGGATGGACAGGAGTGGGCAGGACCACATTCATCTACTTGCTGGAACTCATATGCACAGACAGCACCATACACCATGCAGATATTAAGTTCCTACTGTATGAGGAAGGTCATACATAGTTACACATCCAGACACAGCCCTTTGGGAGCCAGTGAGACACATAGAGATGCTAAGATTTGTATGTACTGTAAGGTCATGTACTCATATCCATCCAGAGAGGGCCCCTACATATATAAGAAGGGGGCCAGTCATGTTTGAACATCTATCACAAGCTTGACTCACTGACTCAGGCCTTTCCAGAGCTTGCTGCTGGCATTCAGGGCTCTGGGATTAAGGATTGGGGTGGATGTTTCATTCTGCCTGATACTCTGATACTACAGTAGGAATCTCAGTAAAGGAAAAGTGGAACTGCCCTTGGGAGGCCCCCTTCACCTGCTGCCATGATGTCCTTCCCTTCATCTCCCTTTTCCTCACCATATGCCTTATCTCCATTCCACCTCCTGCTATGCAAGTGCCCCTGTGGCTTATCCTCCCTGCCCTCAGCAACCAACTCAGCTGGGAAAGCAGAGAAATGTGTAGAAGGCTAAAGGGAGTGTCTTCCATCTCAGAGACCCCTGTTGGGGGTATGATGAGAATTCTGGCTTAAGCCCAGGCCTGTCCTCAAGGAAAGGGCCTGGAGAAGGAATCTTGGGTCCAAGGAGCCACCCCAGTCCAAAGGAAGCCCTTATGTGCACACCCCTCTGTTTCCAGACATTTCTGTTGCATTATCTGTCTACCTGTCGGTCTCTGGTAATAAAAACTTGTTAAACAGTTCCATTTCCTTGTGTGTGTGAACAGTAGAAAGGCTGCTGCCTCCTGGGCACTTCAAAAGGCCCTACAATCCAGTATGTAAGACCAGTTTTGGACAGAAGGGGCTATATATTTGAATGTGTTTAAGAATTACTTAGGAGGCTGGGCAGGCATGGTGGCGCATGCCTTTAATCCCAGCACTTGGGAGGCAGAGGAAGGCAGATCTCAGTGAGTTCAAGGCCAGTCTGGTCTACAGAGCAAGTTCCAGGGCTGCTACACAGAGAAACCCTGTCTTGAAAAACCAAGCAAATAAAAATTAAGTAGGAATTACTTAGGAGACAGTCTTTCTAGGGGTGGTGGTGTTGGAGCAAGGCCTCCCTTTACAGCCTTGGCTGTCCCAGAACTTATAGATATCTGTCTGCCATTGTCTTCTGAGTGCTGGGACTAAAGGTGAACACCACCACATACAGCTTTTTTAAATCTAAGAATGGCATTGAATTTACTTTACGAAGCTGAAATCAAACTTGAACTTCTGATCATCCTGCCTCTGCTTCCTAGGGCTGAGGATTAGGGCCAGAGCTTTGTGCATGCCTGGCAAGTGTGGTTTTAACCACAACCCTAGAAGGCTCCTGAGTCTCCAGCTGACTGGATTGCATCTATAGAGATCAGTTTTAAAATATGAGGAATTGAGCAGTGTGAGGTACTGTGTCTACTCTGCCAGTTCAGTCCTGGTTCTGAGAAATTAGCCATACATGGCCATGGGGTGGCACTATACTCCCACGTTTGAGCTGAAAAGCAGTCTAGGCTGGCTTTGGGGCCTCCCAGAGTATGGAGTGCAACTCTATGTGGAAGAGATTTCCTCTGTTCTGGTTTGCTTTTTACCCAGCACTTGAGGAGTTCTTGTGTGGGGTATGAACCCCACAGGCAGACAGGCACAGGCAGACAGGGTCAAAAGACCTCATTCCTAAGGACCTTGTTCATGTCTTCTCTTGTTCCCAGGTCACCAAGATTTCATCACCTTCATCCTGCTCCTATTAAGGTTGAATAAGGTCCAGACCACTACCATTTCTTGAACTTGATAAGTTAATATTGGAGGGAACAAGGTTATATAGTTAAGCATTCTAGAGAACACAAATCCAAAAGGCTACATGCATAACCTTATTTGACAATAACATCAAAGGTCTAGCCAGGCATAGTGGCTCATGCCTATAATCTCAGCATTTGTGAGACAGAGGCAAGAGGTTCTATGCAAGTTTCATGCCAGCTAGGTGTACAAGTTCAGACCAGCCTGAACTATAGGATGAGACCCTGTCTCAACAACAGAAAGCATCAACATTTAAATGTGTGCCTCTGAATGAAAGTGAAACTCAAACTGGCTATCTTGATACCCCCCACCCCACCCTGCCCTCACTGTCACCATGTTGGCTGTGGCAAGCCCTGGCTGATACCTCTCTCTTGATTTTTAGGGAACTTCCTCTACATGGTACCCAGCTCTGCCTCTAGCCTAGGAGCACATGTATCTCAGCTCATCACCCATCTTATAAAGGACTGTTGCCCCAGCCCCCTCCACGCCCCCATCTCTGTTGTTAAAGCCAGTGGTCATTTCATTGTTCTTAATTTTTGCTGTTGATACTGGGCTCAAATTAAAAGTTGTACACACTAAGCACAACTGAGCTAGTCTCCTAGCCCTCAGCTCCCTGTTTTGAAACTCCTAAAACAAATTTGGCTTCAAGGACACTTTTTTCTTTTTCTTTCTTTCTTTCTTGCTTACTTGCCATGTAAAAAGCTGGGCATAGGGCTGGAGAGATGGCTCAGCAGTTAAGAGCACTGTCTGCCTCTTGCAGAGGACCCGAGTTCAATTCCCAGCACCCACAAGGCAGCTCACAACTATCTATAACTCTAGTTCCAGCAGACCTGACACCCTCATACTAATGCACATAAAATTAAATAAATTTTTTAAAAGCTGGGCATAGCCACCCATGTGCCTGTAATTCCAGTGATGTGATTGCCAGTGACAGGGTAGTTACTGGGGTTTGCCAGTCCATAGCCTACTTCCAGGTTCAGTGAAGCACCCTGTCTCAAGGGGAAAAGGCAGAAAGTGGGGAGGACCCCTGTGTCATTGTCTGGCTTCAACACAGATGTGCACAACCTACACTCTAAGTAAATAACATCTACCTTTCTTTTTTCTGTTTTCTTTTAATTCTTCTCTCATGCAATACTCCTGACCTCAGTTTCCCCTCTCTCCACTCCTCCCAGTCCCAACCCCCTAACCTTCTCTCTCCCCCAGATCCACTCCTTTTCTGTTTCCATTCAGAAAAGAGCAGGTCTCCCAGGTGTATCAACCAACACAGCATAACAAGGCTGGGTGCAAACCCTCATATCAACGCTGGATGAAGCAACCTAGTAGAAGAAAAAGAGTTCCAAGAGCAGGCAAAAGAGTCAGAGATATACCCCTTCCCACTGTTAAAGAGACCCACAAGAACACCAAGCTACATAACCATAAAGTTCACGCAGAGGACCTAGCTCAGTCCCATGCAGGCTCATGATTGTCACTTCAGTCTCTGTGAGTCCCTAGGAGCCCTGCTTAGTTGATTCTGTGGGCCACATTTTCCTGGTGTCCTCAGCCCCTCCGGTTCCTACAATCCTTCCTGTCTCTTTTCCCAGGATTCCCAGAGCTGTCAACATCTTGACTCCTTTGTCTGTGTTAGTCTAGTTCTCTTCCCTGAGCTCCAGCTCTGAATGTCTTTCTCTCTTCAGTCAATATCTCCACTTGGTTGTTTAATAGGTGTCTCAAGATTATAACATCCAAAGCAAACCGATTATCCTCCTGCCTCAGCCTCTCAAGTAGCTGGGATTAAATGCCTGTGCCCACCAGGCCCAACTTCAATTACAAACCTCCATCTGATCCAGTATATATTTCCTCCACTAAAATAATACCATGTCACAGTGACACTGTTTTATTCATGCCTGTGCCCAACAGTGCCAGCTGTAAAGCAGTCAATAAATGTGTGTCCAAAAAGAAAAAACAAAAAAGAAAAAGAAAGGCACACACCTTTAATCCTAGCACTCAGGAGGCAGAGGCTGGCGGATCTGTGTGAGTTTGAGACCAACCTGGTCTACAAGAGCTAGTTCCAGGACAGCCTCCAAAGCTACAGAGAAACCCTGTCTCGGAAAAAAAAAAAAAAAAACAAACAAGGGCTGGAGAGATGGCTCAGCAGTTAAGAGCACTGACTGTTCTTCCAGAGGTCCTGAGTTCAATTCCCAGCAACCACATGGTGGCTCACAATCATCTTGAATGAGAGATCTGTTGCTCTCTGTTGACATGCAGGCAGAAGACTTATACATAATAAATAAACAAAATCTTTAAAATAAATAAATAAATGTGTGTTGGTTTCTGAAGGTCTAGATCATTTTGTCGTGTCTCTGAGATATAGAAAGCCTGTATGTAGTGGGGTAGGAAACAGTCTTTCCTTTAAAACCAGATCCCAGTTTGCCTTATTCTTCTCCTTCGCCCCTTCCTAGTTGTTTTTCTGGCCCAGATTCCAAAGGTGGGTTCATTTTGCTTGATTCCTAGTATTTGGAGGGGAGGATACCCATCTCCATGCTCCCTCCCTCCAAGACCCACAAAAAGGTCATCTCCAGTGTCTCAGAACTGGGATTTTCCCAAGCCAGTGTCTACTTTCCTAGGGGGAACCTTAAGTCCCTCTCTCCAGATACCCCTAAGCAGCCAGTGAAAACTAGGAGAGAGAGAGGAACAAGCTGGACTCCAGAGTTGGGTGAGTGTATCTCTACCCTCTACCCTCTACCCTCCAGTCATCCACAACACCTCAAGCCATGACCATCGGCCTGCCCTGTTCATGCACTAACCCACTAACGCATCCTTCTGTGAGCCTCTGTGGTGGGGTGTGGGACCTCTGCAGGGGAGAGTACATCCTCAGACATCCATGAGCATGGGGTGAGGAAGTCCCAGTACTGAAGATGAGTGGATCACCAAGGATTGAAGCAGTTGGAAGGGAATTGTGACCTGCTATGAGCCCTGATATGTAAAGGAATGAATGGGCTGAGCCCCAGCATGGCCAGAGAGAGCAGGTACTCTACTCTACTGCAGCAGGAGCTGGATTTCAGAATATGATGGAGGGTAGAGGCCGGTGAACAGGGGTGGCACCAGAATGGGTGGCCTGGGGCCAGGGCAAGCTGAGACTAAGAGGAGGCTGAGGGAAGAGACAAAGGTCATGACCAGATTCCTGCCATGTAGGGGCATATGTGTCCCACTGGGTGCAAAGTCTGAGGATAGGGTTTGGTGGCATGGTTGCATAGCCATTCAGAGGTCACCCCTACAGACATCTATCTGCTGCTTGCCTAGCTCATGGCAATCTCATGCCTTTGGCAGGTAAGTCTCCTTGACCATAAAAAGAAGCTCAGAATGGGTGAGGGTTCCTGAGAGGAATGGGGTCAGTCTACTCAGAGGAGAAACTGTGGCCTCCCAGTCAGGACTCCCTAGCAGAAACAGCATCAGAGAATTGGTGGGATAGGAGAGGCCCAGGGCAGTTGACTCAAGGGGTCTGGACATACAGATTTGGAAGTCAGGGAACATGAGTAGAGAATGTGTATGAAGATGGGCAAACTGATGATCACTAGAACAAAACAGATAATGAGAAGAGTCATTGTACTCTTCACTCTTCCCTACGAGCTTGGAACTCCTGAAGTGAATGTCAAATGAGGTTTTTAAAAAGTGTATATACCTCATTTGGTGTATATCCTGATATGGTGCACAGGCAACACAGAGACCTCTGAGTGTGTAAGTGCACAGATATGGGGCCACTGGTGTGTGCATACCTGTATGCAAACTGACACACATTTGCACTTGGAGATAACACATGGGCAGGGCACGAGGCGAAGCTGTGTTCTGGCCAGGTGTTCCACATTGGCCCCAGCATCCAACAGAGCAATTCCATGTGATCACCGCTTGCGCAGGCTCTTGACCCCTCTAGTGACCTTTAAACGGAGTGTGTAAGATTGGGCCTGAATTTGTATTAAGGCATGTGTGAACAGAGGGCACTGAGTGTGGGTTTGGGGGACACTTGTGAGGCTGGGCAGGGCCATGGGCCGGAGTTTTGTGGACCCCTCACTCTCCCACGCGTGATTTCCCCATAGCTCTGCGGCGCCCCCTCCCTTGAGTTTGACTGTAAG